TTGGTTAGGATGACTGAGACCAACATGTGGAGGCTCCAAAATGAGTTCTCATAAAACCGTATGGCTTTAAGGAGGCTTTTCATGGCTTGCATGCTCACATCATCCAATCAAACCCTAAATCCATCAAGAATTTGCCAAATGACCAAAATACCCCAAAATCCTCAAAAATACCTAAAATTATCCAAATACCCAATCCTTCACCAAAATCATTTTGAGCCTTTCCAAATTACAAAACTACCCCAAATTGCCCAAAATACCCTAATTTTCACCAAAATACCAAAGTACCCAAAGTTCCCAAATTGCCCCTAATTTCCACCAAGTCCATTTCAAATCTTCTTAATGAAAAATTAAAATCTGACCCACCAAAATTCAATCCCAAATTCATACCTATCTAAAGTCAAATTTAAATCAACCCTAAATCCAAAATCCATCAAATTTAAGCTTACATGACAAATTCAATTTCACCAAATCAATGCACCAAATTTCATCATGACAATTCCCAAATTCTACAAAGCCCATCATGAATAACTTAAATCAAAATTCAGGCTCAAATCAATTTCCGATGACCCATTTTTAAAAAGCCCACCAAAACCAAGCCCAATTTTTAATTCTTTTGAAATCAAAAGCTCACAAGATAAATTCCTTATCCTCCTCCTCCATTTAATCAAACTGAACTATACACCATCTCATACATGATTAAATTCTCTAATATTTGGATTTATACAAACACCACATAGAATCCCCAAAATTTCAAAAATCCCTCCGCATGAAAGTTGGTTAAGCCACATGAAAGCCATAGAGTCTTCTCCAAGTCATATGTGAGCCATATGAGCCATGGAAATTCCATCATGCCCTAAGTAACAGAAGGAGGACATGCTATCAAGCCACCCAAGCTTTACCTTCCCATGCTTCATGCCAAGCGTAAAATCAAACCCTAACCTCTTGGATGTGACTTCTTGGATTAAACCCAAAGACCAAGAAGACTACATCAGCCACCATGGGGAGGTGGACCAAGCCATTTCTAAGAGTTAAACGCAAAGTCAAACGCAAAAGAGGTCTAAGCACCATTCCTCTTTGATCCACCATTGGCCACTTGGCACAACCTAATTGCCTCCACAATTCTCCACCCCTGACCTCCCTGAGCGACCTAGCCACCAACCTTGGCCTGACCGGCTGCCCTAGTCGCTGGAAAACACCAAGCCCGAGAGGTCACCCATGGCTAAAACTTCAAATTCCGCCCATCCAACGTGGCTCACTCCCACTGGATTGTTGCACTACTCATGGGTTAATTAAAACGCTAAAGTTCACAGAGCATATGTTAAAACATCTCAAATAAATCTTAACATAATATGGAATTGATTAATTGAACAAGTTAATGAGATCAAATGAGATGGAATTAATATAGAAGGTTCTAAAGTTGTTTAGGGTTATGCCCAGAACACCTTTGCAAGATTTCAGATATTAAAAAGGGCATTTGAACTTATTATACTCTGTTGAAGAAAATCATCCTGTAAATTCTTAGGGACCCAACAAGATATGATTCAGGACCTGTTAATTTACAATTCCAATAAAATACTCTATATTACTTATCCTAAATTTAAACTCAATGCTCAAGGATTTGAGTCTTTTATAAGGTATTCAAACCCTTGTGAGCAAATGAAGATTTTTGTTTATGCACATAATGATCATCAGACTAGTGTAAGTCAGAGGTATTAGTGGTGAGGGTGACCATGACATCGCTTATGTATGCTAAAAGTGGGATATGAAGTGGAATTCAGAATAGTATCTCCTACCTCAAGGATCCTCAATAAGGGGAGAACAGGATAGATGATACTAATCACCAACTTTTGATAGAAGTTGCCCCTAGCATTCTTAGGTTGTAGGTAGTCCTAGCCTGATTGGGGTGGTTAGCTAGTGGACTATCTCATTTTGTCAAAATACTTACATACATATGGTACAAAACAAAAATCCTTCTATGATATGATTACTTTTGCCAGTCAAGTAAACTCTACAAGCATGAAAGATTAGAAGAATTTTGATGAAAACTAATAAAGGTTTGTGAGCTAATCACTTAGATCAAGATTAGAGATTACCCTCCTTAGACTATTAGGCTGGCAGCTTTTATTAAAGTTAGATAATAAATCATACAGTCTAGCTTTGAGTCTCCACCTTTACTAATTTCTTACACTCAGTCTTGATCTTTCATATGTGACATCAGATTCTGTTTTACTCGCTCGTGTTCTTCCTGTAACATGTATAATTTACTTTGCACCACACTCTTTTAAGTTTTGCTTAATCCCTTACATGTTATCATATATCATGTTTATGCTACTAACCTTGTAGTTGTCCCATGAGTGTCATGTACACATTTATAGTTTATTTACTGCACTTTTATCACTTTATTTTACTGTTACTTTACTTTACCATGTATTCTTTACTTGTAATACCTACAAAATAAAAACACACTTTCAAAAATATAAAATGTTTACTTTTAAAATAATGAATGAACATAATTCACCCCTTCTGGATTTACGAGAAACACATGGATGAGGTAACTTACAGTTGCTAACGAGAATTCTTCAGTTCAAATGAGTTTAACTTGTTTGGACTAAGTAAATTTAAGAGAAAATAGTAAAGTTGGGACGACAAAACCATGGGATCTTAACCAAATTTGCTTGATATAAAATAAAATTCTCCCTAAATACTTGAACAATATACAAAATAAAGACATAACGTATAAAAAATGACATAATACATAATACACAAAACAATAACATAATACATAAACTTTAAACCTTAGAGCTGCCACGTCAACAAGGAGCTTGGAGCGAGCTATAAGTGAAGGCGGTCAACGATCTGCAACAACAAAACAAATCTACTTCAGCTAAACTTTCCTTAGACTTAAATAACAAATCCATAAGTCTTTGAGGTTGTCTGCATGGTGCGACATAAATCCTCACCTTATATTTAGGCTTTTACACAATCATGTTGTGCAATATAAGTCGTAACTCTTTTAGGATTTCGAGGTCGTCATTCGATATGATGTAAATCCTCCTATCTTCCAGGCTTTTTACATGATCGGATATCATGCAGATTTAAGCCCTAAATAATAAATCGACAAAATTGAAACCTTAAATAATATCACATTCAAAACTAAAGTCAATTCATAGGATAGTTTGAGAAGTCATGAGGCTTGCCGCAAGATCTGTGACATACCTACTTCTCGTTCCTTTGGACTCTGAAAATAACTGCTCCTATTTGGTTCTTCCCAACTTGATTTTCCTCTTGTCCAACCTTGAAAACTTAAACTATGAATCTTGAAGACAAATGTCTCTTATCATTATTGAGAGTTTTTTTAAGTAACTTCGGTCATTTAGGATGTAATTAACTATAAGGGTTTGTCTCTATAAGGAACTTAAGAACCCTGATAATATAAACCCTATCTAATCCTTATATTATACAGGAAAACTTGTCGGTCAACATATAAAAGGCTCAATACCAATTGGATATCATAAATTCTTTAGTTTATGTAATTGAGCCCCACTAATAAGAAATGTGTTTATTCCTCGAAATATGTGTATTGCTTGTGGTGTGGTGCTCGATTTTTTAAACTATTAAATGTGTGAGATCTTTCTGGTCTCATTTTCAAAATTAAAATTTTATTTTCAAAGACCAAAATTATATGTATATTAAATTAAAAATCACTTTTCAAAATTAAGGCGGCCGACATCGAGCAAAGATTTTAGCAATATAGTGCCATGACTACAACAATTTTCAGAGATTTTCTCCACAAAAAAAAAAGAACTCCAGTCCGCTTACCTCCATTGTGGGAAATACAACATGTCACAGAACTCATACATAGTTCTCTCATTCCAAATTGTCCATCCTATAGTATGTCACCAGGAGATCCATCTTTCTATCAGAGGTAATTTGATCTTAGAATTCACTCAACATAAGACTCAAATATTCTCAAATATTGGACAACAAGAAGAGTCTTCTCTTCTCCAACACTGCGAGAATGACATCGAAGCTTCAAGTGTTTACTGTCCTAATGTCTGTTTGTTAGATTTAATTTTTGATCTGTCCTATGTTTTCCAAATTTTTATTCTAGTAGAGGGCAAACTTGTAATTAGGAATGGTTTATGTTAACTATAGAAGTGGCTACAGGTTGTTTTAAAAAGGAGTTATTGACCTGAGTTTTCTATTTTCCTTGTGTGGTTAGGTACTCATTCCTCCCTCCTTGGTGCCGTATCTCGAAGTGGCTCACAGGTGGTGCTTTTATCATTTTAGCTTATTTTTTTTCTGAAATCTTAAAAACTGCATTGTTTCCTGTTTTCTGTTTGTTGTTTTTTGTTGTTTCCCACTGCAGTATTCTTTTCTCTGTTGCGGCTGATTTCTTCCTTACTGTTTGCTGCTATTTTCTTTTTCAGGTGCGGCACCAATCTGCATCAAAGAGACTAGGAAGGTCAATCAAAGATAAACTTCCCATTTAAATACGGTGCACATGAAGAAGAACTTAGACGCACGGATCTACTTACAAGATTTCTTCATCCTATGAAGTTGATTAGTATTGATAAGATGCCTTCGCGTGTTTCTAACTTGCAATTCTATAAAGAATTATAAATTAAGGGAGAGGAGGAAAATTTGTGGGATGGTTGCGTTTTGCTCGAGCCATTTATCAAAAAATCCAACACAAGCCAACAGTGCGGAGCTAAAATTTTCATTGAAAAGGGAAGAAATGACAACTTTTAATAGCATACTTAAATTGAGTAGAGTTAAAGGATAAATTTTTAACAATATAAAATACTATATAAAACTTCTCTGGAATCTAAGGAAGGCGAGAACTACTCCTACCCCTCCTTGACTCCTTATTTTACAACTAAATATCACCTTGGCTTAGTTACTGTTCTGTTTGTCTATTGAGTCAGAGCTAAAAGCTAAAATCCTGTAGTACAAAAACATCAGCATATACTTAGACTCGTCAAAAACTTGGACGCATAGATCCACTAACCCATATCTTCATTAAAAATCTGCTTGTCTAAGTTAATGCTACCAAGAAAATACATTGGGCCTAACAGTCTATGAACTTCCCCACAATGTAGAGGATTTGCACTAATGCACCTCAAAACAAAATCCTAGCCATGTAGCTGACCCAAAAAAATGGCCAAAAAGAAATCCCAGTTTACATACAACTCATGCTAGAAGAAGATAAATAAAAGAAAGAAGCTAGAATGCTTCAAATATTACAATGAGTAAGGCATGTGGATCGCTAGGAAATTAAGGTATTCCAGCTACAGCACTGGAAAAACGACAGCACTAAGGTGCTTCCTGTTTCTTTGTGCTATACATAGATCACTGAGCATTGGTGTTGCCGTCTGGCATCTTCCCAAGTGAGAGTGTAAAATATAGAAGAATCAGTGTTCCCATGCTGGACCTGCACCAAAAATAAATAAATAAATAAATACAAAAAAAAAGAAAGAAGAAAATATTTGTTAACAAAGGAAATTCAAACTTTGGAAACATTTAAGCCGAGTTTGGATCAAATGAACTTAAGTAAATGAATAAGAAAGCAATGGTTTATTACTCTGCAATCAATTTTTGGTCTGAAGCTTTCAAGTGGGTTTTCTTATTTTACTGAAACCTCACATTCAAATTACAGCATTGAGCAAAAACATAGTTGTTACTTTTTTTTGACCTTTTCAATTTTTTCTTTCTTCATAATTTAAATGCATTATGAGGATAAGAATGTTAGCCCTAAATTAATAGACAGAATCCTGATCTATTTGATGAATATTGATCTAATGTATGACACAGCTGCTCAAGTACAATGGATTTTCTACAGAAAAAAAAGGGTGCAATGTAATAAAATAAGTAATTTATGCTATATTGTACCCTATAATAAAAAAAAAAGCCAACACTGGTGTATTTACGGGTAGATCCAATCCGTTGAAAATTACTTGTAGTTTTTGGGAGGATAGATTAGTAGATTATTTCACACGGATATTCCAACAGATTTTTATTGGGCAATTCTGCTGGAAACAACTTTATATGTGAACCCAAAAATACCCATTTCTCCCTTTCTTTTTCTTCCTCTTCTTCGTATCATTGCATCTTAGCTGACATGGGATCCCTACGCCTAAAACTCATTTTAAGCAGCAAATTTATTTCCAACTTCTCTTTAAAATTGAATGTCAGCCTCCTCTACCATTTATCCGTTAAATCTTATATTTTGTGGATTTAAAGTTTACAGTATACTTTACAGTTTTTTGCATGTTTTTTTTTTTGAAATTAATCAGAAATCCATCACCCATAATCAATATTTGAATTTCAAAAGAATACCTATCAGTTTGTAGGTTAGATTTACAGTTGTTTGATTAATCAATTAGTCTAGTATTTTTCTTTATATTAAATTGCTTACAAATAAATTTTTTAATTAATTATGAGTTTTTAAATTTACTGTTTAGGGAATCATATTATATTAATTTTGCAAGATTTTAGCTCTTTTGTTTATCAACAAGGATTTGTATTAATCTATTATGAAGCCTATGAGTAGTTAAAGTTATGATATTGTGACAAGTATATTCACAATAGAATGCACTATTCTTTCTATTGTAGGAGATTTCTTCACCCAAGTGTTTGAGCATTCACTTAAACTCATAATGACATAGTTTTTAAGTATTTAAATTAACCTAAGTAGAGAATTCAATATACTCAAGTGCAAGTTTCAACGAAAAGTTAAATTTTATTGAGCTCTGCTAATACTGATAAAACACATGAATATCCACAATGAAAGATTATGAATATATAATAGGTTACATCCAAGCCAAAAAAAAAATTTATTAATAAATTTTAATTATTATGACATCTTGGCTTATTAATTTTTCTAAGAAGAAATTTTGATGTTTATATGTTAAAAAAAAAACATACTTAATCGATTGAAGTTAGGTTGGATCTGAATCACTGAGAGTTTCAACCTAGTTACTAAGTTTGAACATGATATATTGAATGTAACATATTGACTTTAAAGTTGATACCTTGATAAACTTTATACATTCAAATGAATATGAATCAAGAATATATGTAAAATAGTATTCAATGCAAAAATATCTCACTTTACAAAAGAAATAGAAGAGCCTCCTAAAATAGAAAATTAAAAATTCTAAAAATTAGCGAGTGCAGCACATCGATCATGTATGATAGTTTGACAATTTACTTAGAATTATTTGTTGATGTTAGAATAATATAAATTCAAATTGAACATAATATGCTACAAAAATGTTTTAATCAGTTTACAAGGTTTTTAAAAGAAACTAATTAAAAAAAGCTTAGTCTTTGAGAACTTATACAAAATAAAAAAAGTCTCTAAATTGGATTTGAGTTCACATTAAATAAATTGTCATGTTAATGAATATATGTTGTAATATAGATAATATATGATGAAGACCAAATAAAGATTTAAGAATAATGCAGATTTAAGCCAAAAAATTGTGGAAAAAAAAAACAAACAAACAAAAGAAAATTTTATACAAATTTTTTTTTATCTGTTACTCTTTCATGATTAAAAAAATTATCCGCATCTATCTGTTATATTGAGCATTTGAGAGGAAATTATAAGAGAATCAGCAAACCAAATACTTCATGTCATCTATCATAACATAAAACATCAAAACACTTCAATCATATATATCCTAACTTTATTATTGAGAAGTTTTGTATATATGATTTTACATCATTCAATCAAGCTATGTCTCCTGACTTAATATTGGTCATTGATAGTAACATTTTACAGCCTATTAGTGGAGATTGTGTATAACCACATCTCTTGTGATTCTCATACTTATCATATCTATATCACAAAGTTCAAAATGAAAAATGATATTACCTTACAACCATTGATAAATGAGCTAAAAAATTTATGAGATGATGGTTTGCTAAAAAACTTTCACGTGAAGGTAGTGCTTGTACGAATTATTAGTGTTTTTCTTGCATATGAAAATATTATTAGGTGGAGCGCCATTGAAAACTTTGCTTGTCCATTTGTATAAATTTTTTAAAGAGTTTTATTTTAAGAAATGATAGAGAAAAACACTTGATTTAATTTTTATAGAATTTTTGTGCCCAATGATCATGCATTTCGAAGAAATGAGAATGCATTTATCAAAATATAGTTGAAAAATTCAAGCCTCCACCAAGGATGACTGGAGATTAGTTATGATAAATGATTAGCTCAATTATAAAAATAACTGATTCACACCATCTTATTTAATAGTCATCTTCTAGATTATAATGTAAATCACAGTTGATCAAAGAAGAATATTTCTTTGAAATCTTTTATAATGAAAAATAAATTTGATTAGAAATATTCTCAATGTGATGCACATAGGAAGAATTTTTCAATGACTGTGGTGGACATTAAAATAAGACTAAAGATTATGTGAAAGCCAAGTTAAACTTAAAAGATTAATGAAGAAAAAGAGAGGTGGAGCATCAAAATATTACAAGTGAAAACTTTTGATACGTAAAACAAAGAATTGTCGCTTATCAGATTAAAGAAGAGCAATTTATGAGTGAGTACAATCACTCTAGTTACTTGATATGCATGCATTTAAAAGTAAATACATTGACTTGAGAGCTTTATTGTTATTTAAAATACAAAGGCAAAACTATTATGTTTTCTTAAAGTGCTTGATGTCAGATATATTTAGTGCTCTGTCCAACTTAATACTAAATTGTTTAATTAAAAGTGAGTTTATTTTTTAAGTGTATTGCTTAGCTTATTTAAATAGTTACTGTATAAGACAAATTAAAATAAACATTTCACGTTTACTGTACAAGCTAGAGAGAGTACTTCTCTATAATTCTTACCTGGATTGCCCAACCTACTTTATAGAGAGCGGTTACCCTACAGTTATTCAGTTATCATGGGCATCATTCAACTTGGACGACAAATTTTCTCTTTATTAGTTGATAATTATTAGTTTACCAGATGAATTGAGGGAACCCGATATCAATGATGGTTGATAACATGGGACAATATACATTTCTTCATATTAGAACTTTACAAATTATTGAGTATTTCATCAGCATGTGACTTGACAGTTGTCTTATCATTTTGGTTATCAACCCATCCAGGTAACTATGTGTATCAAATATGCACGTTGTTTTTAAGATATTTTTATCTTTATTTATTTAGTTTTATGCTCTTCATGGTATTTATGAGAGTATATGTATTATATAATTGATTAGATAATTTGGGAAGCAAATGAGATGAAACAAATTCAAAAAAGATTGAATTGAGCTAAATTTGGTTGTCTAAGTGCCCTTTCACCAAACTTGGTCACCGCTTTATTAGTCTTAGTACCTAAAAGGGACAACTAAACAGACACACAAATGCCAATTTTGCTTGCCTAGACACCAGAAACAGACGTCTAGGCACCAAAAACAGGTGTCTAGGTGCATAAGCGCCTAGAGTCCTAGAAATCCATCCTGAGAAGGTGGAAAGTAGTGCTAGTAACTGTAGTGCCAAGGTACTAGTGACCACAAACTAGAACATAAGGGCTATTTCACACGTTTAGGAGGTCTAGGCGTTTTAGAAGCATCCATTCTAGATGGATGTAAGATATTGTCATTTGGCCAAATTCACAAGGATATACATGCTTTTTGTAGAGGGACTCACAATAATTGGAGAAGGATTGAAAGCAGATAAAACTTGAAGTAAGCAAGATCCAAAAGCAAGTGAGTGAGGAGAGATTGAGAGCGATTTGAGATGTGATATCTTGTTGTGACTCCATAATTTTTATAAGTAAAAGAAAGGAGACAAGTTATATTTAGTTTTTGAGCTTTTTATTGCTTTTTTTCTGTGAACTTCTTATGTATATTATTTATTTTCATTAATATGATGTTGTTGTATATGAGAATGACTTGTGAGTAGTTTTCTTTCTTCTCCCTTGGATTGATTATGTAGGAATGATAGGTATGAATTATCTTGAGTTATTTTCTTTAAAATAGAGAGAAGGGGATGGTTTAACCTTAGATACTTAGTTTACTTTCATCTTGGCTAGTTGAAATGTTAAAAAATGTTGTGAAACTTGAGATTCAAAAGAATTCTTAATGGAACAGTTAGGATAGATCATATTAACTTAGGGGAATAGGAATATTACCTTTATATCAGTGCAGTCTATTTAAGGAGAAATGATATCTTTGGATAATCACTTGATTTAGAGGTGTAAACCTATATAATTGCAGAACTTGTTATATGCCCGAGAGGGGATAAGAAAGAGGTTCCTCCCAACTGTCACCTAATAGTTGAATCACCGAATTGAACTAAAATTTATATGGAACCAATTAAGGAGAGAAATTTCATGCACTTGAAAACTCTTAAACTCTTTGATCTTGTTAGCCAAAAATCGTTGAATTTCAAAAATTAATAATATT